CACTGTTCACACATTCCTGTTTCCTACTATTGCAGAACTATGTACAGTAAGTAATGCAATGTAAAATCTATTTTGTGTTCGGCCCGAACACACCTCTGTTACATTAACAATAAACTGGGTACGTTAACTGCTCATATTGACTGTGGGCTGTACAGAACAGCGGGGCAGTGGGCTCTTCTCTGACTTAATTGACTAAAATATATGTCAGTTGAAGTTTTGATAACTGATGTAATGTGGCTAGAAGTTAGGCAATATTCAAATTTTAACTGCATTATTAAGTAATACAGTTCATTCATTTTTTAATATTTTTTAAAAACCTGCCCAAAAAATGACGAACCACACCAGATTTTGTTCACCCACCAAAGCATGTTTTCTCCCTCTAAATCCAACCAAAGGCCGAACCTGCCCGATATGGCAACAGTGAAAGCAAAACTTAATGTTTATTTAAAAAAAAAAGCGTGCTAGTGAAACTGTAGCTGAGTGACTTACAAAAGGTAAATAGTCCACTGACTAACTGAAACTTTAAGTGCTACGTAAAGCATATGTCAGTGTTATAATATGGTACAGCTCAATAAGCCTGTTCATACATGGTGTCAGTGTTTGTTTTAACCCTGCATGCTTCAGATACCTAACTTTGTTTTTCTCTGAAGAACATCAAACTTTAGATTAGCAAGGTGGCAGTAATACTGAAACTGATACTTAGTAAATTTTACATTGTGTGGAACAAACTGTGACAAAGTGCATTAATTTGTGTGTCACAGTAAAAATATTTACCAGATTGTTGAGCTGATGCTCCTCTCAGGTTTTGCTGTTTGGGAAAGGACCTGCCTTTCAACTGAAATAGAGATTTTGAATGTTTCTGCCTGTAAATTTGCCTGTCTGTCTGTTTTGTATAGGTTAGTGGTCCATGCAGTTTAGGCAGAGTGGAGATTATTTTCAATGTGAGCATCCTGGACATAGAAGTATTGGGGCATTGTCTGAGTACTGCGAAAAGTGGTGGGTCAATTATTCATTCGCCCCCCCGCCATTCTGACAGTCATTTCAAAAACAGCAGCAAAAGAACACCTTCAAGTACCGTTAGGTCAAATTGGTTCTAATCTTGAGTACGTACCAAAAACCAGAAAACTGGAACCTTTGGTAGCGGACCAGTCACCTATGAAAAAAGCAAAGTTCCAGTTTTCTAGTGCCAACATTTTTGGTACTTTGTGCAGCGGAAAAACACATTTTGATGTAGATTTTCGGTGCATGGAAAAAAAGTATAAAACCAAAGCAACTGCCTATTGGTGTCTACTGTGTTTTGAGACAAATGTTTTTTTAATGTCCGTGGAAATCAACCATATGCTACAGGTATTACGGATAGACTTCAGATTAAAAAGGCTGGAGCATTCCTGTAACTCTCTCTAGCGGTGAAAGTGAAGACCAGTCAGATTCTCTTGGCCCACCCATCTGGGGAATATATTCTAGCTGACTGGTAGCCAGGTTTTAATAAGATTTGAAAAAGAAAAAAATTTTGGACGATTTTGTGCCTTGCATGCGTTTTCCTGAAGCGCTGTCTTATTCTAATGAAGCCTATGACTGTACGTTCACTAATAGAACAGTATTTTGCTTCTAAATCAAATTGCCTCACATATTAACCCACTGTCCAGGGGTGCTTTATCTTAATAATACATTTGAATTCTCGCTATTTACTTCATTATAACAAAGAAAGAAAATGCAAATGTATAACAGTCTTCAAATTAGTGCATCCATACAAGTTTAGCACTAACGGAAGTGAGATTATTTAATTGTACTTATAAGAATTGTTGTATTGTACAAGTGATCATAACATAAAAAACAGTCACTATGTCACATTATAAATAGCATATAATAGTATGATGTAATGTATCTAGTAATTTCTTATTCATTTTAGCATAGCACAGTGGATGTCACAGCACGTTGAATTAGTACTGCTCTTTTCAGTACCCAAATAAGTAGCTTTTAGTTTTACAAAATTATGTAAGTCTAATAAATATTAAACATTCACTTATTTAATGCACTTTAACTTATTTAAAGCTTACAGTGCAGTGAACAATTCACCTTTGGCGATTAAAGATTTATAGCGGCACCTCCACAGGTCATTTTAACTCGTCTCTTTCGGTAAATGTAGCGGATGGGTGTCGGAAACGGGGGGAGTGAGGAGACAAGCTGTACAGAGGAGTGTTATTATGGTAAAATAAATCCCCTGACTGATCATTCAGCGTCTTGTGACTCACTTAATCCCGACACTTCGGAGTGTTTTTAGTTATCCTCCCCTGCTGCTGCTCTCTGAACCCTGCGTTTTTAAAATTGACTCAGACAACCCTGCCCCCTCCCCTTCTCGGCTTGAGTAAATATGGTTCATTGCACTTCAGTAGAGGAGCAGTTCCTCACTTATAAATTATGATATTTATTATTTACGTCCCCTGCTCTCTAATGCCCCGTAGTGTACCGACGCGTCACCCATAATGCGCTGAGGCTGTAGCACTGAGGCTGGGCCACTAAAAGAGGTCATTCAGGGCTACAAATGAGAAGAAACAAAAACAGCATTCAATATCAGTGTCTCTCGGCCTGTTTTCTTGTTCCCTCACGGACACTCAGTTACCCAGATAAAACTGGCCACTGATCTGTTGCAAAGGATAGAATGTGCTCAAGAATGTAACAAACCCCCTCCTCCTCTTTTTTCACTTTCTCTCTCTCCGTTTCTTCCTTTCTTTCTCTCTTTATTTCTTTCTCATTATTTCTGTCTTCTTTTTTTCTCCCTAATGTCTCTTTTCTTTTCTTTCTCATACTCTCTCTTTTTATTTCGTTTTCCTTTTTCTCTCTTCACCCTTATCTTTTTCCCTCTCTCTCCTCTGTTTCTGTCTTCTACTCTTTTCTTTCTTTCTGTCATGCTCTCTCTCTGTTTCTTTCTCTGAACATATTCCTTTAATTCAAACCAACTGTTCTTCAAAGCATTCCATATTTGACAGAAATGTAAGTCTATAACGTTGTGTGTGTGTGTGTGTGTGTGTGTGTGTGTGTGTGTGTGTGTGTGTGTGTGTGTGTGTTGTGTGAGAGAGAGAAAGAGAAAGAGAGAGTACTGTCCTTTACACTCACTGCGTAAACAAACACAGGTAGAGCTGGTTTTCCAAAGCCAGATTAAGCCTAAGCCTAGACTGTGAAGAATTTCTCATGATGATTCACCACTGGCGCTGCAGTTTAGTTTAGGACTAGGCTTAATCCATGTCCGGGAAACTGTCTCGTACAGTTCAGAGAGATTAGCTATCATTACATTATATGTATGTAACAAACTACTGGTAGAAACACTTTCACACACGCAGTGTCTCAGTGTTAATGATGTCCTCAAACGCACTTTCATTCTGAGTACATTATTATTTGACTTCACTTTCAAAATGGCAAATGCTACACGCTGCAGATGGACATGCTGAGGAAGTTTTAGATTTTAGGTCAAAAACCTTAAAGTGCAGAACTAAGAAACATGTCAGTCTTCAGTCTGACCTGATTACCGCCTCTGACCTCAGACTGCTACCTCTACTGACAACGTTCCAGTACACACATACGCACACACACACACATACGTGCACGCACACACACACACACACAGGTTTGTTTTTGTACAGTGTCAGGACATGTGGGTCTTAAATATGTCCAATATGCATTATATCTATATAATTATATATATGTAATGTGTCCCATATGTATTATATCTATGTAAATATCTTTATGTAGTAATAATATATCCCATATGTATTATGTCTATGTATGTATTTATATGTAATAAGAATGATATACCATATTTATTATATCTATGGAAGTATCTGTATGTAGTAATAATATATCTTACATGCGTTATGTCTATGTAAGTATTTATATGTAATGAGAATGATATACCATTATTAATTATGTCTATGTAAGTATCTATATGTAATAATAAAGTCACATTTATATGATGTCTATGTAAGTATTTACATGCAGTAATAATATATGCCATATATTATGTCTGTGTATGTATCTTTATGTAATAATTATATGTACTATATGTATTATATATATTGCCGCTGTCAGAACAAAACCTGATATGTTTAAATTGGTTTCTTTTTTGTGACAAAAATGTTCTTAACTTTTATTGAAAGATAATAAAGGAAGTAATTTTGGAACATTCATTGTGAAAGTTTGACACAATGTAAAAAGCATGTGATATTTGCAATTCACAAAAAAAGAAAAACAATGAATATATGTAATAATAGTATGTGTTATATGCATTATACCGCCATATGACACTAAGCCTAGCCACCTAGAGTGTTTTATTCTTTCTATTTTCTTAAGCATTGAAACATGTAACTTTAAACATAAAGTAGTTTCAGGAGCATTTTGGTTGTCAAGTAGGTTAGCCCTGTTTGTCTCTGGTTAGCCCTATTTTCTCTGGTTAAATTACAAAGTCAGGACATTTTTATCCTGAAATTGTATGAAAACAAACACACACACACACACACACACACACACACCTTTTCATTCACACCTTTCTTATTCAGTTCAGCAGCACAGCTGGATCCCCCACGCTGCCTGGTAAAAAAAAAGTCCTTTATCCCAGCCATAGTCCATACTACAGATAGAGTCTAATCACACCGTTCACAGTACATAAACATAATATATTGGAAATACATTACTCAGTTTGATTACACTGGCTGCACTTCACATTGTCTGTACATCTCATGATGACTAGATCAAGAGAGTCTGGTCTATATGGTCCAAGATTACTTGGAAGAAAATTGTTACATTAATGTATGTTAAAGTTAAAGGCATTTTTCCTTCTCCTATAAAGTTACTGTATGAGGATTTGTTGCAACAGAGGTAATATACTATTTATATTTAGGCAAACGCAGAAGTTCTTACAGACCAGAGATTAAAGCGAGAAAGAATGAGAGAGTAGAGGTGAGAGAGAGAGTAGAGGTGAGAGAGAGAGAGAGAGAGAGCGTGTGTACCTGAGTTCCTTGTGGTTTGTTTCCGCTGCAGCTTCCTCCCAAAGTCCGTCTCTTCTCTCTGACTCTTTAGAGGATACAATTCTTATTCCTCCTCCTGCTTTCCATCTCTTGCTTGCTGTTCCTCCTTTCTCCTCTCTCTCACTCTGACTCTCACTCTTCCTCCTTTCTCCCCTTCTTATTCTCTCTCTCTTTCTCTTTCTCTCTCTGAACACTTGTAAGAAATCGTTTCTGAGCTCTCACTCAGAGAGAGCGTGTGAGTAAGGTGTGTGTGAGGGTATATCTGTGTGTGTGTGTGTGTGTGCTGAGCGTTTATCTGCAGAGCGTGTGTGTGTGTGTGTGTGTGTGTGTGTGCAGCACACGGTCTGAGTGCGAGTGAGTGAATGAGAGAGAGAGAGAGAGAGAGAGAGAGAGAGAGACAGCACAAACATGTTGCCCCACTGGGGAAAACCCCCCACCCCACCCTGCCCCTCTCTCCCGCACACTCTCGCTTCCTACTCTCTTTATTTCTCTCTTTCTCCTCTCTCTCACTTTCTCCTTTCTATCTTTCTCTCCCTTTCTTTGTTCCTCTCCCCACCATTCCCACTCCTTTCACTCTCTTTCTCTCTCCTTTCATTCCTTCTCTTCTCTCTATTCTTTCTATTTCAGTCTTTTTTGTCTTTCTCTTCTTTTCTCTCTTTCACTTTTACAGTATAGACTTATTTATCTTCTTTTACTCTCTTCTCATTTCTCTTTCTTTCTTTTCTCTCATTTCTTTCTCTTCTCTTCTCCATTCTCTGTCTTCTCTTCTTCTTTCTCGCTCTTGTTCTTTTTTCTATCTCTGCCTGATCTCTCTTTCTCTCTCTCTCTCTTTCCTTTCTCTCACTTTCTCCTTTCTACATTTCTCTTTTTTTCTCTCCATCTGTCTCTCTCTCCTTTCTTTCATTTTTTCTTTTACACTTATATATCTCTCTTCCTCCTTTCTCTCTATCCCCTCTCTCATACTCTTTCCTCTGTCTCCTTTCTTTCACTCTATTTTATCTCACAGTATATAGTTATGTCCGTCTCTCTTTTCTCTCTCCTCCCAGCTTTCTCTCTTCTTTCTTCTTTCTTTTCTTTCTTGCTCTCTCTCTCTCTTTCTTTGTTTCTCCCATACATTTATCTCTCTCTCCCTCCTTTCTCTCTCTCCTCCACTTTTCTTTTCTTTCTCTATTTCTCTTCTTTCTTTCTTTCTTTCTTTCTTTCTTTCTTTCTTTCTTTCTTTCTTTCTTTCTGTCTTCCTTCACTCTCTTATTCTTTATTTTCACAGCATACACCTATGTCCGTCTCTTTTTCTCACTCACCTCTCTGCTTTCTATCCTCTTTCTTCTTTCCTCTTTCTCTCTGTCTCGCTCTCTCTCTAACTTTTTCTTTCTTGCTTGCTTTCTTTATCTTTCATACATTTATCTCTCTCTCCCTCCTGCGTTTCTCTCCTCTTCTTCTTTCTTTTCTCTCTTTATCTCTCTTCTCTCTTTCTTTCTCCCCTTTTTTTTTCTTTTGTTCTTTCTTTTTACTTCTTACACTTATATATCTGTTTCTTTCTTTCTTTCTTTTTACTTCTTACACTTATAAATCTCTCTTCCTCCTTTCTCTCTCTCCCTGACCTTCTTTCTTTCTCTCTTCTGTCTCCTTTCCTTCACTCGCTCTATTTTTATCTCTCACAGTATATACTTATGTCTGTCTCTCTTTTCTCTCTCTCTCTCTCTGCTCTCTGCTTTCTCTTATTTCTTCCCCCTCGTCCCTTCTTCTTTCTCTTCACATCTTTTATTTGTCTTTCGTTGACTTCTGTCATCTCAATGCAGGAAGACATCCCTCTTCTCCTCCGTATCTCCACACGTTTGTCATCTCATTCCATTTTTGGAATTCCACTCACAGTTTTTTTTGGGGAGTGGTGGTGGGGGGGGGGTGGGGGGGGTTGAATATATTTGCCTCAGAAAAATCCCTAGAATCATGAATAACTTAGAGACGACTGGCACAAAGAGCACATATTTACAGCGCATCAGTCTATTGTCTCTGCTAATCTCTGCACACTCTGCAGACTCTCTGCTCACTACTGACTCTGTTAAAGTCTGCACTGCATTTTCAACTGTGACAAAAAAGTTCTGCTTTCTCACTAGTTTGATGTACAAAATGTTCTACACATATTCTGCTCTGGTGGGAAAAATAAATAAATAAACTGCTTGGTTTTGGATTTCAACCATAAAAACCAACAATAAATATATAAACACAATAAATAAATAAAACCCCATATTTGTTGAATGTGTTGTAGTATTTTAAACTTCACTGCTGATTTTTATGATCATCCACAGACAAATATATCATCTAATGTAGTACTATCTCTCTCTGTATTTGGTGCAAAGAAGTGCTATTTGCATATTTTACTTTGTCTGTGGATTTCAGGCATCTATGAAAGAAATTAAGTAAATAAATAGATTTATTTAGTAGTGTTTCAGGCATAACTGCTGATTTCTCTGATCACCGACAATCAAATATACCATCTATAACTATTTTCATTCATTCAGATATCACCGTCAGAAATTCAACTGTACAATAGTTCAGTGTATGAATAAAATAATAGACTTTTTCACACACATATTCAACAGCAAAGAGTGTGCATGTGTATGTGGAACAAAACAGTGTTCTCTGTTGGAGATCCCATTCAAATGCACATGCTTAAAAGCTCAGCGTGCAGAAGAGTGTTTTTCATTTAAATCTGTAAATACCACAAGCTCCTAGCCGACAGCTAAAAAAATTGGTTCTTTTTATCATCATCGATTCAATCTCCCTTTTAACCCATCGTCCTATATCAGCACATTAAAGTCCAGCAGGTGATAAACCCCCTCTCCAAGACTTCAACCAGATTATGCCATCAGGACAATTACAATGGACCGCTTCAGCGTGGTGATGTGCCTCGCCTGTGTGAGCGGTAATAGAGATAGTGTGTGAACTGAGGGGTGTGTGTGTGGATTTGGGGTGTGGGTTGAAAGGGAGAGACCCCCTGCTGGGCTGAAATGTAGAGATGTACCCTCCCTTCGGCACATTTGGATTGCGGCGCTGCTGCATCGCTGCACTGTATTGGTTAATATTATTCTTATCTTTGTACTTCTGCACTTAAATTCAGTCTTATTCTGCCCAACAATACACAGACTACAAATGCACGTAATTTTTAAGTGAATCATTAAATTAATGACTACATTAACTTATTTTATACCGAAATCTTCAGTTGAACTCACATATACATTTAAGGTTCTTGTGAGTTTTAAATTTTCATAATTTCTACTACATAAATGTGATTTGCACTTTTCATGGCAGCTTAAACTTGCAGTTTCCTCAGGAGTTCTGTCTACCTGTCTTTATCTATCTGTCTGTCTGTCTTTCTGTCAATCTATCTATCCATCTGTCTGTCTATCTATCTATCTATCTATCTATCTATCTATCTATCTATCCGTCTATCTGTCTGTCTGTCTGTCTGTCTGTATGTCTGTTTGTCTGTCTATCTACACTATATGGCCAAAGGTATGTGGACACCTGACCATCACACCTATGTGAACTTGTTGAATTTCTCTTTCCAACTCCATTGGCATTAATATGGAATTGGCCCCCTCTTTTGTGCCTGTAACAGCCTCCACTCTTCTAGGAAGGCTTTACACAAGATTTTGGAGTGTGTCTATGGGAATTTCAGTCAAAAGTACATTTGTGCAGTCAGGCAATGATGTTGGATGAGAAGGCCTGGCTTGCAATCAACGCTCCAGTTATTCCTAAAGGTGTTCAGTGGGGTTGAGGTCAGGGCTTTGTGCAGGCCGCTGGAGTTCCTCTACACCAAACTCATCAAACTGTGTCTTAATGGGCTTTGCTTTGTACACAAGGGCACAGTCATTGTGATGATGTTGCTTCTAAATGTGGTCTGGAACTCTGTAGCGAGTGATGGGCGATTTTTGTGCGCTATGTGGTTCAGCACTCGGTGGCTCTACTCTGTGGGTTTGCTCAGTCTGCTGCTTCGTGGCTGAGCTATTGTTGATCCATTTCATAACAATAGCACTTAAGGCAGAAATGTCACTAACTGACTTGTGGCAAAGGTAACATCCTATAACATTGCCATGGTTAAAGTCACTGAGACCTTCAGTATTACCCATTCTCCTGCCAGTGTTTGTCTATGGTGATTTCATGGCTATGTGCTTTGTTTCAATACACTTGTTAACAATGGGTGTTGGTGAAATGTGTGAATTCAGTAATTAGGAGGGGCGTCCACATACTTTTGGCCATACAATATATCTATTTATCTATGTATATCTGTCTGTTTAGCTGTTTGTCTGTTTGTAAGTTCACCTGTCTGACATTTTCTTTTCTATCTATCTATCTATCTATATATCTATCTATCTATCTATCTATCTATCTATCTATCTATCTATCCATCTATCTATCTATCTATCTATATTCATTTATCTATATTCATCATCTGTCTGTCAGTCAGTCAGTCTTTCAGTGTGTCAGTCTATCATTCTGTCTGTCACAAACAGATCTGTCTGTCTGTCTCTCTCTCTGCTTTCATGTCCTGTGGGTTGTAATGTGGTTGTACAGTGTGTATTGCGAGTGGTGGGGTTGGGTGGTGTGTTAGTGCATCTGGGTGTGTACAGTGTGTAGTGTGTTGGGGGGGGGGTGCCGCCCCCCTCTGTCATGCCGCTCTGCTCTGTGGGGGGTGCGCTCTCTCGTCTCCTTTGGGACATCCAGGAGCTGCCTTGTTTGTGAGCATGTCTCATTTGCCTCTAACCCTCTCTCTCTCCCTCCAGAGCACGCAAAAACCCCCAGCAATAAACATACAGTCTCACATAGAGACCCTCAAACTTTTCTGCTATTTTTATGTTTTCTCTCCTTCTTTCTGCTTGACTTTCCCCTCATTCTTCCCTCTTTCTTTCTACACAATATGTTTTTTCCCCCTCCAATCCTGCATTCTCACTATCCTGCCATGATTGCTCCAAGCGAATTGCTTATCACTGTCATTTTTTTAGAGGGGGAGGCTCCTTTCTTCTTTTCTTCATTAAAGCTTCTTTTTGTTTCTCCTTCATGGCTTGGTTTTAGGGGCGTCAGAAGGGGGGCACACCCCAGACTCGCAGAGGGTGGGCCGCTTCTAGGGTTCAGGCCTGGAATAAAAGGGCTGTTTTTTTTTCCGAGAAAACAAAAAAAGCTCTTATGATTTCTTTAAAGCCATCTTGGCTGGAGCGTCAGAATGCTGAGACAGTATTGAGAGGCCAAAG